TCTGTGTGGTCATTTGCCTGGTAATGGGCACATATGGATCTTCTTTTGCCTACCATTACACTAGCACAGTACCTGGCACAAAGTAAATATTTGTTGAATTGGTATTTGAATCACAATAGCAAAGTCAGTAAAGAAAGAATTGAATGGAAAAGTGGAATAGAATGATAACGGTGTCATTATTTACTTTAAAAAGTCCAGTTCAGAAAAGGGTTAATTATAAAAAATGTTAGTTATAAGCACAGCCTTCCAGGACAGTGGCGACTTGTGTTAAGAGCCTTAAAAGTGGGGGTAACTGGGTGACTCAGTGGGTTAAGCCTCTACCTTCGGCTCAGGTCATGATCCCAGGGTCCTAGGATCCAGCCCTGCATCGGGCTCTCTGCTCAGCATGGAGCCTGCTTCTCCCTCTCTCTCTGCCTACTTGTGATCTCTGTCTGTCAAATAAATAAGTAAAATCTTGGGGGCGGGGGGGAAGAGCCTTAAAAATGTTACTTGGTTCATGACTCCCAGCATCTACTAATTCTAAGGAAATAAAAGTTTGACTAAAGATGTGCATAATAAGGGCATTCATCAATGAATGAAATGAATGAATGAAACAAACTAAATAGCCAACAGTATGAGAATGAATAAATAATGGCACTTCTATATTATTATAGTAAGTGTGTATGCTACGAATAAAAACATCTTTGAAAGATGTAGGGAAAATGCTTTCAATATAGTAAATCTAAGAAAATTTGGATGTTATATGTTTATTTTTCTTTCATTTCTTATGTTTATAGATAAATAGAAAAAATGATGTAAAGGTACATATCAGATATTTATAGTGGTTGTCTCTAGATAGCAAAACTGGGTGATTTAACTTTTTAAAATACTTCAAAACTTTTGCAATGAGCATGTTCTATTTATTAGAAAAATTCAGAGTTGATATTTATTACATACCAATTGTATAAAAGTCTCTGTAAAGAACAAAAGAGCTGCTTTCCCATTTTCTAGTGTTTTGCTATGCTTAGATGAGCAAAAATTAGACATCTAGCCAGTGAGTTGTCAACCTAATTTTTTTCACCCAGGCAATGATGTGATGCTAGTTACTGATTGGAGTCTAAGAAATTTTTATATCAGAGGAGCTCAATAGCATTGATCAATACTAAGGGCACAGATTCTAGAGCTCAACTGTCCAGTTTTGTAAGCTGTATGATGCTGGGCAAGTTATTAAATCTGTCTCAGATTTTAAAACAAGAATACAATCTACCTTACTGCTATTAAATTAACTAATAAAATATAAAGCAGTTAGGGGCACCTGGGTAGCTCAGTGGGTTAAAGGCTCTGCCTTCAGCTCACGTCATGATCCCGGGGTCCTGGGATTGAGCCCCACATCGGGCTCTCTGCTCAGCAGGGAGACTGCTTCCCTCTCCCCACCCCCCGGTCTACTTGTGATCTCTGTTAAATAAATAAATAAAATCTTTAAAAAAATATATAAAGCACTTAGTAGTGCTTGTTAAATTGTTATATAATAAGTGTTAACTTAGAGAAATAATTATCTTGTTAAATTCTAAATTATATTACAGAGTTTGTACATTTCAGATACTTTTCCCTTTTGTTCTTTACAGAGCCTTTTATACAATTGGTATGTAATATCAACTCTGATTTTTTTCTAGTAAATAGAACATGCTTATTGCAAAAGTTTTGAAATATTTTAAAAAGTTAAGGGACGCCTGGGTGGCTCAGTGGGTTGAGCCTCTGCCTTCGGCTCAAGTCATGATCTCAGGGTCCTGGGATCAAGCCCCACATCGGGCTCTCTGCTCAGCGGAGAGAGCCTGCTTCCCCCTCTCTCTCTACCTGCCTCTCTTCCTACTTAACTCTCTCTCTCTGTCAAATAAATAAATCTTTAAAAAAAAAAAGTTAAAATCGCCTAGTTTGGCTATCTGGAGACAACCACTGTAAATATCTGATGTGTCATTTTTTTCTATTTATCTATACGTCATTTTTTTCTATTTATAAATACGTCATTTTTAACATCATTTTTTCTATTTATAAATACAAGAAATGAAAGAAAAAATGTTTAAACAAACAAGCAAACAAAAAGTTTATCCTTTTGACCAGTAATTTCACTTCAGGAGACCAATTTGAAAAAATGTTCATAGATGTAGTCAAAGATTTATATATAGAAGATAGTCATCAATATTGTAATACTACAATATGTATTGTAATTGTATTTACAGTGTATTACAATTGTAATTGTAAAATTACAATATTGTAATTGTGAAAGTGTGAATGTATTAGAATAATACATTCTTGATGGTTATATCCAAGTAGGGATATAAACTTATAGTTCTAATCTTTGTATAATAAATTAAGATAAATCGTGTTTTTAGTGCTCGTACAACAAAACACCTATAAGAATAATACTATACTGCCATGAACAATCGAGTTTTTGAGAAATTGAATAACATGGGAAAATGCTTACAATATAATCAAACAGTAAAATACGATGCCATGCAAACTCCTTTAATTTAGGCATAGCACTGGTGACAATTGGAATTTTATACGTTTTATATAAGATTACTTAGTGCCAGTCCTCCACACTGGATTATGTTTCATAAGGATATAGAACATGTCTGTTTTAATTATGCTCCAGTGCATAGTGCAGTGTCTGGCACCTAGTAGGTACTCAGTAAGTACTTGCTGAATTAAGTAAATTTGGAGAAAAATCAAGAATAAATACTAGATTACTCTAGCAAGATTTTTCCATTCTTGTTTTTCTAGATTATTTTACAGTAGAATAATCAGAAGAAAAAGTAACAATAAATATTTCAAAACTCAAAGGTAACAGACTGATAAAAAAGGACTCCACAATTTATGAATCTTTGGTGAGAAAGATTGAGTAATTTTTAAACCTTTTTTTTTTCTATTCGGGTCATTTATTTTTAAATCCTAAAGTGAATATAAATTATATTTATAAAATATTTTGAATATCTTTAAAGTTATAAGAAAACACTGAATTTGATAACTTAGTGGTGACTTTTGAGAGAATAGATATTAAAGAATCTGTATCCTTATACAGCAGGTTAATAATACAATATAATTATAGATTTGAATTGACTTTATATATAATTTCTCTAAAATTTTTTAAAATTTAAATTCTTCTGAATTCATTCAACTTACTTTCTGTTTAGTCAGCTACTGTTCGTAAACAGGTACCAAAATGACACCAGAACACTAGTGGTTCTATGAAATGATCATCAGAAAGTTTGAGAAGTGTTACATATAATAGTCTAAGAAATTTACATAAATCTTGGTTTATTAAACATTTACAAATGTCCTCTAATGAAGAAAACAATGTGTAGGAGTTTGTAGATAACACCTGACCACAAAACCACCTTTCTCCTAGTGTCTGTATTTTTTTTAAAAACCATGTTATAGGGGCACCTGGGTAGCTCAGTGGGTTAAACCTCTGCCTTCAGCTCAGGTCATGATCTCAGGGTCCTGGGATTGAGCCCAGTATCAGGCTCTCTGCTCAGCAGGGAGCCTGCATCCCCCGCCCCCCAGCCCCAGCCCCTGCCTCTCTGTCTACTTGTGATCTCTCTCTGTCAAATGAATAAATAAAATTTTAAAAAATGTTATATTTGCTTCAGTTTGCTTGTCATAAACTTTGTATTACCCTAGAAATCTTTTAAAATCTCAAGACTATTACCCTTGTTCTAGAAGAGGTTTGAGGAAAGGTAGATGTTTTTTATCTTGTGCTATATATCAGTCTTCAAGAAATACCACACAGCATATTCCCAACACACAGAGGGTAATGGATAAGAATAGTGGATCTGGCACCCTAGACCTGGATTCAAATGCCAGTTCTGCCACTTTTTGGCTGTGTGACCTTGGCAAGTTATTAAATCACTTTTAAGCCTTTTCCAGAAATATTTGCTTTAATGGAATTGTCTTAAAGTTTGAGTGAACAGTGTATATAAAATACTTTAGCATGATATCTGGCACATGGTTATTAATCAGCAATTAGCTACTCTCATTGTTAGCCTTGCAGAAAAGAGTTTATCAAGACCCAACATAAGGATCTATAGCTTCCTAGGTCCTTTTGAATTGAATCAGCTTTTATTATTGTTAACGGTTCCATTTTACTGAAACTGAATTTCTTAAATATGCTAATGTAAACTTTTAAAGTATATTCTTAAAGTAAATATGAGTGAATTTAAGTTTCTTTCCTGTTTGCAATAATAAATTTATATTTTTCTAATTGAGAAGAATGAGCACATTGACTGGATTCATGGTGAAGTGTAAAGAGCCAGATTTTACCAGAGCATTATTTTAGGATGATACAATAGCTATGATCATTATACCAAAAAAATAAATGAATAAATCTCTAGGAAATTTAATTTTGTTTTGTGTCATTTTTAAAGATTAATTTTAGTAGTAGTAGTATTTATTTTTTGTTATTACCTCAGTGATAGATGGGGCAAGCTACCATTATCACCTAAACAAAAAGCTACATTTTCCAAATGGGTACGACCAGAAGACCTCACCAACAATCCTACAATGATTTATACTGTGTCCAGTTTTAGCATAAAGCAGGTAAACATTTTATATGCTTTTATATGAAAGCTAACATTTTGAAGTAATTTGAATATAGATTTGGGGGTTTTCTTAGTTTTTATTATGTATCAAGATGCATGAGTATAATTGGAAAAATTCTGAACACTTTGCATACTGAGATAATGAGTATGAATAACTGATTTGAGGAATTGCAGATTTTTATATAGACCCTTTTTATCAGTATATTTTTGCAGATGAAAAAGTTGAGGATCTTAGCCTCACCTTAATAAGAGAATAGATTTTTTTTTAAAGATTTTATTTGGGAGAGAGCGAACACAAGTGGGAGAGGAGAGGTAGGAATAGGGGGAGAGAGTATTTCATGCAGACTCCATGCTGAGCATGGAGCCCAAGACGGGGCTTGGTCTCATGACCTGAGCTGAAATCAAGAGTCGGAGGCTTAATCTACTGAGCCACCCAGGCACCCTGAGAAACAGATACTTTTTTAAAAAGAAAGATATTAAGCTTATTCAAAAAACTCAATGGTGTAACAACAATATGGCTTTATTGCAAACTTTATTCAGTTAAGTTTTGCATTGATGTACAGATGTCTTCCAGTTAGTATAAAAATAATGGTCCTGGGGTACCTGGGTGGCTCATCAGTTAAGCATCTGCCTTCCGCTCAGGTCATGATCTCAGGGTCCTGGGATCACTTTGGGGGGGGGGTCCCTGCTCAGTGGGGAGTCTGTTTCTTCCTCTGCCCCTCCCAGAGGAAGTCTGGGAAGTCTTCTGCCCACCCCCGAGCCCTGCTTGTGCTCACTGTCTCTCTCTAAGTAAATACAATCCTAAAAAAATTAAAAAGTAATGGTCCTGAAATACTATGATTCAAGAATCTTTTGATGTGCATATTCAGTTTAGTTGGTCATATTATAATAAACTTTTTTAAAAATGCCTTTAAATTATCATTAAAAACTTGTGGGTTCAGTGAGTATGCTTTTATCCATGTAAGAAATACATCATATTTATTCTAAATTAACTTTATTGAAGTATTTTACTCAATTTTTCTGGAATTTATTTGAAGAAAATATATATGAGTTTGCAATACAGAATTTCTGTTCATTTTGGTATTCAAGCAGCAGTTAAGTCAGTATAAAAAGTCAGCGGCATAGGTGTAGTGCTTAAATATTGTTGTAATGTTGAAATTGCATGAATGAATTAATAAATTAACACATTCTTATTAACAGACAATAGTATCAGATTGTTCCTTTGTCGCATCACTTGCTATCAGTGCAGCTTATGAAAGACGATTTAATAAGAAGTTGATTACCAGGTAAAATTTTGTATTTGTCCCTTTAGCCCTTTTCCTATAATTGTTTCTTGACTAGAAGTTAACAGCTTTGGTTTTATCTGCATAGAAAGTGAAGAAGGCATATCACTTAAGAATATTGTGGCCCTATATGTTAAACAGATGACTTGTGAATGTGGAAAGATTTCATAAAATAGTCTTAAGAATGTATATACATGTGTTAATACATATGAAATAGGTATGTTTTGAAATAAAATTGGTCAAAGTAAAATCATATCATATTTATAATTATATTATGCTATATGGTAGCCACTAGCTGCATGTGGATATTGTATACTTGAAAAGGGCTAGTCTGAATCAAAATGAGCTGTAAATGTAAAATGCATCAGATTTTGAAAACTAAGCCCAAAAAAATATAAAATTGTAAGATACCTCAAATTTTTATAGTGATTACACACTGAAGTAATATTTTGGATAAGTTTGGTTAAATAAAATATATTAAAATGTCACCTTTTTAACTTTTAATATGGCACCTGGAAAATAGAAAATATTTCTTTTGGCTAAAACTGCTTTAGAATGTGCTGAAATGTTACTGAAATAGTTTTTCCTCTCAATTTTTTAGTTTTATTAGCTAAAGATCATTTATTATACAAATTAAGCATTATAATATTTCATGCATCTTTTCCTTAGTGGTTTTTGTGTAAATCCTGAGATCACAAAGATAAATTAAACACAGACCTTAGTTTTAAGCTATTTGCCATCTTGGATAAATAGATTATATAAGTACATAATATATAGTGTAAAAATAATTGATACTGATACAAATGTCTTACTAGATAATTTTGTGTAGCTTTATCAGAATTGTGTTAACTTTATCTCTGTCAGAGTTGTAGTTAGTTGCCTTAGTTCTTGTTAATTGAAATGATGGTCTCTTCTTGAGCCAGTGAGAGAAGATTATTTTAACTGGCATTAAAATATATCCACTTATTAGAAAATTTATTAGAGTTTATAATTAAAAACTTAGTATTTTTCAGAGTATTGTGAAATTTGTGCCCAGCTCTATGATCTCCTAAGATATTTTCTTTATATTAAATAAGCACTTTGATTAGGGTGAAATTCTTTTCCTAAGCCTATCACAGAAAAATATTCTGTTTATTTTTATAAAATTGCCAAGACAATAGCATATGTCTAAAGAAAATATAATATCCTGCATAGTAGTTTATATTGAATATTAATTTGGTATTTCAATATTTATTTTCCTTACAAAAGCATAATTTACCCTCAGAATAAGGATGGTGAGCCAGAATACAATCCATGTGGAAAGTATATGGTAAAACTTCACCTCAATGGTGTCCCAAGAAAGGTGAATAATACCTCTCCCCACCCCAACCCCTTCTCTCTCTCCTTCCCCACCTTTGAATATTGAGTAGAATCATTAAGAAATGTTATTTGTGTAACCTTTAAAAAGAATTTGAGTCTGGTGTTATGCATATTGCTACCAGTAACATCGTATGTTAATAATTAAAAATAAAAGTTAAGAAAGTCTTTTTAAAAATGATTTTGTGAAATTTATAGAAAGTTTCAAAAAGTAACATTGAGCTAATGATTACTAATGCTTGAACTTTAATCTGATAGTTCTTAATTGATTAAAAGGGAAAGGAAATCGGGCAAACTATAAGGTCACAAGAGTTTATATATATAGTCATAACCTCAAACCTAAGAAATCTTTCAAATTATGTTTTCTTTTGTGAAATATATACAGCCTGAAATTACACTGCTTTCTTTAAGAACTCTGAACTTATGTAATGGCCTGGCATTGTTGGGATTCTCTAGCTCTTGTCTACTCAGGTCCATGGATCAACATTAGCACTTATCTGAGAACTTGTTAGAATTGCAAAATTTAACGCCTTCCTGAACCTACTGAATCAGAATCTATATTTAAACAAATCCCCTGATGCTTTCAGTCTAAGAAGTTGCTCAGTAGCTCAGTAACACTCAAATTTTGGTATGTATAAAATCACGTGGAGGGCTTAATTAAACACAAATTGCTGTCCTGCACCCCTCAGTTTGTGGGGTGGGGCCACAATTTGCATTTCTGACAAGTTCCCAGATGATGCCGGTGCTGCTAAGAAAACCCTGTGAGAACCGCTGCTCTAGTTGATTACTTAAAAATTAAGCAGAATCACTGAGAATAATTTTTTCTGTAGTCTTTAACCCATTGTTTAAAGAATCTTTGAAAATGTAGTTGCATAATCCTCTTGTTAGTGTTAGATCAGAATTTTTCCTATTCTCATTTCCCAAATCACTTCATATTGTGACTTAGAAACTGTATCTTTGTGGTGATCACTTCCTGTATTACTTAAATATATCTTTTGGCCATAATGTTCTACATTTACAACTGTACATAACATGAGTCTTTTTGCAGGTTTAGGTTAAAATTACATGTAGTAATATTATTTACCTTAATAGTGAGGCCCTTTAATAATTACTTTAGATAAAATGTACATTTCTAGAATCTGTAATAATTTTGATGATATAGATCCATTTAACCAGTTGGCTCAAGGTTATCACATGATAGGGAGATTAGCCTATAAAATGGAATAAAGACATTTTTTATAATTTTATAATTTTTATAAATTGAGCAGATTCTAGAAATATGAAGCTATCATTACTTTAATAATGAGCATATTATGTCTTTTATTTCATTTATTTGAAAGGGTTTTTTTTTTTCCTTGATAGAAAGGGTTTTAAGATATTTTGTACCACCTAAGGAAATTAATGTTCTCTTTCTCCAGGTGATCATTGATGATCAATTACCTGTTGATCATAAGGGAGAATTGCTTTGTTCTTATTCTAACAACAAAAGTGAATTATGGGTTTCTCTCATAGAAAAAGCATATATGAAGGTCATGGGAGGATATGATTTCCCAGGATCCAATTCGGTAAGTATCAGGAGGATCCAGACTCAGACTTATGCTATCTAATATGACTATTTTAAATTTGAGAGATTATAGATGATATTTTTATTTAAAGGAAAATGAACAGAGTCTGAACCTCTGAAAAATGTTAATCAATCACCTTATTATGGAAAACTATTTGCTTTCACAAGGATACTGCATTGTAAAGGATTCAGGGAAGTCTAAAATGCAAGTCTGCTGTCACATTGAGATACAAGACCAATTAGATACAGCATACCTTTCCAAAGAAGTCTCTTCAGATCAAAGGGATATGTCATATTGTCATCCTTATGTGTGTTCTTTGGATTATAAATTCAGGTTCAAGGAGTTTGTTTTTTAGTTTTTCCCAGTCTTAATACTGCTTAACCTACAAAATCAAGGTGTGTGCCAGTGTCCTTTAGTTGGATGAGGTAGACTGAGCTTATGCCAGAAACTAGATTAGTATAACTTTGAATTAGGACACTAACCAGCCTGTGGCCTTAGAAAAGGTATGTAACCATTCCTAGCATCTTTGCTTATCTGTAGTATGAGGATAATGCCCACCTTTCAGAGTTGGAAAGATTAAATGAAGTAATGTGTGCAAGTTATCCATCCTTCATAGCTGATTAGTTTCCCACCTAGTACCAGGCTTTCTTCACACTCCTGGTTCTTATAATGCTAGGCAAAGAATGTATAGGTCATACTTAAATGTAATAGGATATTAAAATTTCTTCTTGGCCTACATGCTCAATTGTTCTGTTCTTCAAATATGTTTATAGTTTAGTTTCTAATTCAGTGCCTTTTAATTTACCCAGTGTAGCGTAGAGAGAGAAAGAATGAGAATATATGTAAGACTTTAGAAAAGTGGCTGTCCTAAGAACTCACTAAATTATTAAAGCAGCTTTTATCTGTAACATGTTTTTAGTTTTTAGTTTTCATTGTATTTATCAGTAGGACAGTTGTTGCGTTCAGGAAAAACAACAGAGATTATAAGGAATAAACTTGTGCTTAAATCTGGGTAGGAATTTGAGTTAAATAAGAAATGTATTACTGGTCGGAAACAATCGATGATATTTAATAGCTACCATGGGGATTTATTAAAGAGCTTGGAAACAATATTGACAGTCCTGAAAATGTGTTTATGTTGCAGAATATTGATCTTCATGCACTGACTGGGTGGATACCAGAAAGGATTGCTATGCATTCAGATAGCCAGACTTTCAGTAAGGATAATTCTTTCAGAATGCTTTATCAAAGGTAAACATTTTCTCTCTCTTTGATAGTAAAAGAGGCAGTTTTTAAAAATTCATGCCTTAGAAGAGATAATACAGAGGCTGTATTTTTAGTTATTTAGGGAAATTCTGGTTTTACTTTTCATTTTTGTTTTTGTTTGTTTGTTTAAATAATCTACACTTAACTTGGGCCTCAAACTCCATGACCCCCAGATCAAGAGTCACGTGCTCCAACTGAGTCAGCTAGGTACCCCCAGGAAATTGTGTTTTGAAAATGGACTTCACTTTATGTACTTGCTATGGCCAGCCCTCAGTCATCCTCAGTGATAGTGACAATTAATCCAGATTATAAATAATCCAAAACATTTGAATTTGGAATATGTCATATAGGCAAATTGTTTCCTACTTCTTAAGTACTTACTTTGAGGGAAAGTAGAAAAAGAGAAGTATGAGAATATAAAGAGGAAGATAGCTTTTAAGCCTTCAATGAATAATCCATAGATAGAGATGGGAAGATTGTGCAGTAATACATATTCAGTAGTGAAACTAGAAAATTTCAAAGATTTGACAAAGTGTATTTGACATCTTCAACTTTATTTGTAAATCATTTGAAAACTTAGCATTTGCTTTCCTTCATTGGTAAGTTTTTACCTTATAATTATCTAAAACTGGAGAAGGGTGGGACAGTGTAATAATTTATCTGATATGTTGTGAAAAGAAACGTAGTTCTTGTTCTCTAAGGAGTGTTGGGAATATCCCATTTTAGAAAAGATGTCAAATTTGTGGAAATTTTCATGTAAACTATTAGACTGAAGGAAAGATAGTGTGATCTGATGGTATAAATATGATGTTTTCTTTTAGTTATTTGTCTATTGGGGTCATTCCAGGTTTCACAAAGGGGATGTCCTCATCACTGCATCAACTGGAATGATGACTGAAGCTGAAGGAGAGAAGTGGGGTCTGGTTCCCACACATGCATATGCTGTTTTGGATATTAGAGAGTTCAAGGTTTTGCTTTACATATTTTTCTTCTTTCTCATACCTGATTGTAAGACATTGCAAGGATCCCAAATAGTGTAATAGGCTTTTTTTTGTTTGTTTGTTTAATTTAAAATTTAGGTAGTTAACGTACGGTGCAATATTGGTTTCTAGAGTAGAATTCAGTGATTCATCACTTACATACAATACTCAGTGCTCATCAATAGTATAATAGCTTTTGAATACTGACATATCAAGGTTCAGATGAAGTTTTAAAAATCATTCTACCTATTACATTAAATAATTTGACCTCGACCATTAGAAATTATGAAATAAAAAGATGGGAAATGTAATGGCAGTGATAGCAGAGATTGATGACAAAACAGAAATGCCTTTTGCCTCTTTAAAGTCATTAAATTTGTCTCAAAATTTGTTGAGGTAAACACATAGCCCTCTAGGTTCTGAGCTATTTGCTGATGTTGGGGGTAGTCATAGCATTAGGCTCTAGAGCTTGGTAGACATTCAGTAAATATTTACGAAAGGACAAAAAAAGGGGAATATCTATGAATAAGAAATATGCCAATGGATTTGCAAATGTTTCTCTTCCTAGCAGCCCTCACATGCTCTCAGACATTTCAGATTCTTTCTCTGCTCAAATGTTGAAATAGTTGACTTTATTACTTCTTGGGTTATTGATTACCTCTTTTTAAATGAAAAAGAGATCTGTTCTATGGATTAGAAAGTACAGAGATTGTTAAGGGAGGATTCTTTATCCCTGATGATAGAGAGTACCTAAGCTGTGTAGTCCCTGGAAAGTTTAACTAGCCATGTGTTCACTTTCCCCTGCTTAAACTTGCAGCAGGAAGTAGTGATCGATCAACAATGACAGTGTTCTGCTGTGTATTAATTTGATTGATTTTCTTTTATGGCATGTGGAATTATATGAAGTATGAAAGCCTTTGTAGGGACCTGCTGCAATATCAATTTATCTAGTCTCAAGGCTTTCTAAATCAGCCACTACTATATCCCTAACCATTGTGTATAAAATAAATAGTGTTTTCCTTTAAAAGCATAAAAATTGATTACCTAAAGCAAAAAAAAAATAAAAACATATGTGAAATTGAATAAGCTGAGAGATTTGTGCTTGGTGTAGAAATGTGTTTTAGAGTGTTCCACAAAAATGAGTCAAAACATTGGCCATAACATTTGCTGTTATTTAATACTATGTGTATGTTATTTTATTGTTAAAACATCCTTGTAGGTGATCAGGATGCCTAAGTGGCTCAGTCACTTAAGCACCTGCCTTCGTCTCGGGTCCTCGGATTGAGTCCCACATCAGGCTCCTTGCTCAGCAGGGAACCTGCTTCTCCCTTTCCCTCTGCCCCTCCCCCTGCTTGTGCTTGTGCTCTCTCTTTCTTTGACAAATAAAGTCTTCAAAAAAAAATGTTAATTAAAAAAAAATCCTGGTAGGTGATCAACAGTGAGGTAATAAAAAGACAATTAAATTTAGATAATGAAAGTCAATATAGAAGTAAGCTTGAATTTGAAGAAATTTTCTGTGATAATTGTGTCATTTACTTTGAATAATAAGTCTGTTGTGATTGCTTAAAGGAAACCAGACAAATAACTTATGAGTGAAATAGGCACCTGTGGTTTGATGTGAAAACAAAACATTTAAAAGCTTGCTGAATGTCCGTAAAGAATTTCAGGTAGCAGCCGTTTTAGTTTAGTTCATCATTTTTATCTTAGTTTTGCTGTCTGTATTTTGAGACAGTTCCTTAGTCCTGACTTGAATTTTAAAATATTTCCAAAAATACTTATCTCATTAGGCATTTATCTCTAGAACCTCTGTTGTGCAGATAGACCCAATCTTAGACAAAAGCTATTGCCAATCTTCTACGTTTGTGAATTTCTTCACTTAATAAGATTTTATTAATACAAATGTTTCCTTTTTGTTTGTCTCTAACCAGCTTGAGTATTTTAATATCTTTGCACTTTTGTCTCAGCAGTCCTTTGGGTCATTTTGTTGTGTCCTTGAGGTTATGTTTCATAGTCTATTGTGAAGCTACATCTCAGTTTCAAGCTGCTGTCTCTAAGTACAACATGTCTTACCAAGGGATTTTTGAATCTGTCCAAGTCTTTTCATTTGCTCCCCCTTGGAAATAATTTTGAAAATGGAATGTTTTATCATAAGCAAGATCCTTTTTTAGTCTTAACATTTTTTTCCCCTACTCAGGGCCTCTGAATTGCAGGGTCTCCAAACAAAATCTACAACTTCTTCTTAGCGTCCTTAAAATGTCAGTGATGACCGGCACCTGCCCCAAAAGAGCTTAGCAATTATCTCTCCTTTATATTCTTTCCTTAAAAAGTGTTAGGGTTCTGAATATACTTTTTTTTTAAGGTTTTATTTATTGGGGCGCCTGGGTGGCTCAGTCATTAAGCGTCTTCCTTCGGCTCAGGTCATGATCCTAGGGTCCTGGGATTGAGCCCCACATTGGGCTCCCTGATCAGCGGGAAGCCTGCTTCTCCCTCTCCCACTCCCCCTGCTTGTGTTCCCTCTCTTACTGTGTCTCTCTCTGTCAAATAAATGAAATCTTTTAAAAAGAAAAGGTTTTATTTATTTCAGAGAGAGAAAAAGAGAGCATGAGCAGGGGGAGGGGCAGAGGGAGAAACAGGCTCCCTGCTGAGCATGTAACCCGGGGCCAGACTCATCCCAGGACCCTGGGATCAGGAGGCAGATATCCTACTTATGTAGAGCTAGGTTTTATGGGGGGGGGGGGGTTAAATATCTGTGTGGCAGGGGCAAGAGTGGACAAGTGGTAAGAAGAAATTGAGAAAAGGAATTTGAAGATTCCTGAGAGAAATGAATGTCCCCAGATATCACATCTTTCCCAGGCCATGATTTGCTACATTTAAAATAGCTGAGGACTCTATCTTTCAAAAATGTCCCTCAAATAGTTTGACATCATTAGAAAATGAATACAATTTCCTAATTTGACTGCTTAAAATAAGACAAACACTCTTTTGGATTTACAGGCTCTTTTGATTTTCTGAGTTCAAGTAATGAGTTCTGTAGACACACCCAGTATTTGTTGAGCACTTACTTAACATAACCTTAACAGTCTGTTTTATAAACTCAGTCAAGACTTCTGAAAAAGGACAGTAGTGTTACCATTTCAAGTTTACAGTCTCATTGGGGAGACAAACTCATGCATTTGCACAAGTAGGAAACAAGATAGAATATTAATTGTTTTAAACTAAAGTAATATAGAATATTAATGTTATAAAGTTTAGAGAAGAAGTAGTAATTAAAAGAAGACCATTACTAATTACTAAATATTTTGCATATTTTGGATATGTTAATTTATTTAATCTTCACAACAGGTTCTAGGAGACATTATAATCTTCATTTTATGTGTGAGTAAACAAATGATCAGAGAGTAAATGACCCACCAAAGGTCCATAAAGCTAATTAATAGAGCTGGCATTTGGTCCCATTTCTTTCTGACTCCAAAGTCCATGTTTTTTTCTCTTCTTCACTGCTGCAGTCTTCATTGAGAGAATCAGTGGAGAAAAAAGCTAAGGAGTATCTGAAAGGATCTTAAGGGAGGAGGATGGATGAGAGGGCTTTCCAGGAAAGGGGGACAGCATGGGTAAATAAGGATTATTTGTGGGGATGATGAGAGAAAAGACTAAATTAGAGCCAAGGGTATGAGTACTGGAAAATAAAGTGGGGCCAGAGCAGAGTAGGCTTTGAAAGAGTGGGAAATTCATGGTGCTCTAAGGCAGCACTGTCAAAAAGAACTTCCTACTATGATGGAAGTGTTCAGTGTCTGTGCAGTGCATAAGCCAATAGCTATACATGGTCCTTGAACACTTGAAATGTGGCTAGTGTGACTAAGGAACTGATTTTTATTTTTTTATTTAAAAAAATTTTAATTTTAATTACCCCCTTGGGTAGTGACTACCATATGGACAGCATAGCTCTTGGGAATAGGTAGGCATCAGATATGTTATGTAGTGAAAATATTGATTAAAGAATATTGTAAGTTGATGTGGAAGGAAAAGTATTGATCAGTATTCAAAATGCAGCCTCTCTTAGAAAATGCATGATATAACTAATAAAAATTTGGTAAAACTGTTTTGCAACTTTTTTTTTTTTTTTTCTTAATAGGGGCTGCGATTTATCCAGCTGAAAAATCCTTGGAGTCATTTACGTTGGAAAGGAAGATACAGTGAAAATGATGTAAAAAACTGGACCCCAGAGTTACAAAAATATTTAAACTTTGATCCTCGAACAGCTCAGAAAATAGACAATGGTAAATACATCTTTTCAATTTTGATACCATTCGATCTTTAACATGCTTTAGTAATATGAAATGTATTAACTGATTGAAGTCATTTGTCATTAAGATATTGTATGGATTAACAGGCATCTAATTTTCAGGAATATTTTGGATTTCATGGGATGATCTCTGCCAGTATTATGATGTGATTTATTTGAGCTGGAATCCAGGTCTTTTTAAAGAATCAACATGTATTCATAGGTAACTTTTTTGCATATTTCAGAATATGCTTTATAGTAGTCTCCACTTTTATCACGTAAAATATAAGGATTAGCTTTTTTTTTTTTTTTTTTTTTTTTTTAAATTTTATTTATTTATTCAAGAGAGAGACAGAGTGAGAGAGCATGAGAGGAGACAGAGGGAGAAGCAGACTCCCCATGGAGCTGGGAGCCTGATGTGGGACTCGATCCCAGGACTCCGGGATCATGACCTGAGCTGAAGGCAGTCGCTTAACCAGCTGAGCCACCCAGGTGCCCCAAGGATTAGCTTTTGAAGATTAGCATTCTTTTTGTCATTCCTGCGAATGACTGCCATGTGATAGTTATTTTCTTTATATGCTGTTTTGGTTATCCCAAAAATTATTTAAGCAATAAAACAAAAATCCTGATAACCTAGTTGTATTAGAAACACAAAACTTTTAAAAATAGTTTGTTGTAGCTCAATGAGAAATTTAATTACTGTTTTCTTTCTTGGCTTTCTTTTTTAGTACTTGGGATGCTAAGCAAGGACCTGTGAAAGATGCCTATAGTCTGGCCAACAACCCCCAGTACAAACTGGAGGTGCAGTGTCCACAAGGGGGCGCAGCAGTTTGGGTTTTGCTTAGTAGACACATAACAGACAAGGTACCTTCTTACATGTCCCATACAGAAACTTTAAAAAATATAATTAGACCGTTGTGAACAAGATACGTAATTTGGTCACCAGCCTGTTTCGTTTATATAGGTGGCGTGAAGATAGTGTTGTATTACATAAATGTGTATTTACCTCTAAGGAAATTTATATACTTAAAATCTTGAAGAAGAATGTGAGTTTATGCTTGTCAGGGTTTTGAGCTTGATTATGTAGGTCTTAAGAATACTATCATTAAAATACTCTGAAGGGGGTTTGAAGATGTTAAATCATTAGGCCTGATTCTGTAAACCATAACCATAATCTTAATAGCCTCAGAGTCTTATCTAATATATTACTTTATACAATGTGGTGGTCCATTGAAATGAGTTTAATTCAGAAAAGCAGTTTTTACAGCACTAAGTAGCTGAAATGCTATTAAAATTAGAATTTTTTTCCTACTAAGAGCATTTTGAGCCCATTTTCCTAACTATATTGGGTTCTTTGTACTTTCAGGATGATTTTGCAAATAATCGAGAATTTATCACAATGGTTGTATACAAGACTGATGGGAAAAAAGTTTATTACCCAGGTATGTTTAGTAGACAAACATTCAAACAAACATTAAAATTTTATTTGCCTGATTAAAATGACAAACTTTATGTAAATAATATGCAGAAATAATGCTGATAGGCTAATAAAAACCATTCGAACAGACATGGTGGTATTTATGCTACTTTGGTGTTTTGTTCTGATTTGTTTTTAACTTAGAGACCTCAGGAATTTGAGATTCCTGTATTCTTGCATATTGCTGTCAGAGTTTTATTTCTAAAACTTAAATCCTATGTGATCAAAAATCCTATGGTTTTCTGTGGGCTCCTGGATAAAATATAAGCTCTCTGGCATGGTTTGTAAGACTTTTGATATTCTGACCTTAACCTTTCTGTTGCCTTTTATCTCAGGCCACAGCTTTTCATATTGCCTTCAGTGAGGTACTGATTACCCCTGAACATTCCATGCCCTTGCTTCCCCTCTTTTCATACAGTTTCTTCTCCCAAGTCTCTCTCCTCTCCCTCTCCTCTACCCACTTACTCCTCTTACCCTAGTCTATGTAATAAACATGGTTAAGATCCAGCTTATATGTTATTTCCTGTGATAACTTTTCTGCCAGGCAAAGTGAATCTTTCCCTCTGTAGGGCTCCTGAGGCATTTAATATACTATATTGAAACCACTTTCCTTTCACATTAAAAAAAAAAAAAAGTTTACCATATATTAAGCATAGGAACTGTTTATGTGCTTGTTGGAGAGACAGAAATAAGAAAATTACCAGGTAGTGATGTGTCTGTAAAGAAATAAGTAGGGTTATGTGTTTGTGACTGATTGGTTGCTTTGGTTGGGTGGCCATGGAAGGCCTCTTTGAGAAGGGGTAAGAGGAAGTCTGAATGACAAAAAGGAATCAGTCATGCAAAGAAATAAAGGGAAAAGCATTACAGGCAGAGGGAATAACAAGTGGGAGGACTCTAAAATGAGGGAAAAAGAGTGTTTTTTAGAAACGAAAAAAAGGCCAGTAGGCCTGGGGTGGTATTGTATCAAGAGGTCAGAAAGGTATGCATGCAGGCTCAGGTGACATGATGTTCTGTAAGCCACACCAGGGTTTGGATTTTGTTCTAAGTGTAATAGAAAATCTTTGGAGAGCCTTGATCAGGAAAATGACATGATACAAAACTTTTTTTAAAGACCATTTTTTGTAGAATTATATTGGCAGGGGCAAAAAATGGAAAAGTACAAAATTAGTGATTTTGAGAAAGAACTTAGCATAATAAGGGAGTGTAGATGAGGAGGAGTGGACAGATTTGGGTTTCAGTAGGATTGTCAGGACCTTAGTTAATTTTGGGGAGCAAAGAGAAATCAAGGATGATTTCTGTCATTTTGGCTTACTTCATAAAAAGCTGCTATAACATTTACTGAGATAGGCAAAAACTGAGCGTGGGGCAAAGGAAGCAGTTTTGTTGTGGAGTAAAAGCAAAAGTTAATTTTTTTGTTGTTGTTACTTACTTAAAATACCTATTAGATATCCAGGTATAGAAACCAAGGAAACAATTGGATTTTGGGGTAGAGTTCTGAGATAAGGTTAGGGTTATAGATGCAGATTGAAGAATCAGGGGCATACAGATGCCTTTTGAAGATAGGACTGTATACACTGCCAGTTGAGAGAGTTGTAGGTACAGAGATGAACACCCAGGACCTAACCATGGATTCAGACAGCTTAAGGTTGAGCAGAAGAAAGTTACTGCAGAAAAATTAGAACAGAGTACCTGAGGAAATAAAGTAAGATGTACATGACCCAAGTGAGGACAGTGTTTCATGAGGGAAAGAGAAGACAAATGCATCTATTGTTATTTTAGAGGTAAGATAGGTTAGAGAAGAAATAATTGGACTTAGCATCCTGGTAGTCATTGTTGACCTTAACAAGAACAGAGTTGGTAGAGAGGTGAGCTTAGAAGCCCAAATGGAGTGGATTGAGGAGAGACTGGGAGGTAAGGAAGCAATTATTGACAGTTCTTTCAAGAAGGCTGGGCAAAAGAAAGTGGTTTCGTTAAGTCTTATTTTTATTTAGTGAGAGAAAAACATGATATTCATCCCCCTAACACGGGGTGAGAGGGGGAGGCGGAGGAAGGGGGGGTACAGAAACTACATGACAGGCCCTGACTCCTATCAGTCAGTCAATATCAAGAGATTTTGATATTCCAGAATGGGCATGGCACATATGATTTCAAGGGTTAAAAGTAAATTAGCCAAATTTCCCATTTTTCATTATGTTGGCCACTATACAACCAAAAAAACACAAATATTGTGAGTAGCTATTCCTAGCATTAAGATATTTATATGGCTTTTGAACTTCAAAAATATTTTTGTTACACTTTTTATTTGGATTTTTTTTTTTTAAACAATGCTCCCTCTTACATATAATGATACTGCCTTTTCAGAAAAAAATAATTTCTGGTTTACAATTTTATTTTCATTACAACACTCAAGTGAATTAAAAAACACTCTTCTATCATTCTATTTGACAAGAGAGTAAACTGAGGCACAGAAATGTTAAAAATCTTGTTCAAGATTTTTGTTTTTCTCCTCACACTAGATCACACCACTCTAAGCATTAGAGATTTATTACCTGTTTGAGATACTAAAATGTTTAGTTTTTTCAATAGATTATATAAGTATTCAGTATTCCTAAAAAAGCTAAATGGTATAGCATTGATTTTAAATGACATGTAATAATTGACATGCATGAAATAATTTTATTGGCTTGATTGCAATAAGACATCAGAGACTATATCATGCAGCATTGTTTGAAATAGCAAAATACTGGAAATAATCTGTGAGATTGAATAACTAATGGGGATATAAATAAGTCATATTCATATGATGGTATGTCATACAGAGAGTTCTAAAAGGAATAAACCATATCTATAGAATGTGAATCTAAAAAACACTGAGTAAAAAATGAAAGCTTTAAAATAAGACAATATGGTGTCTTTTTAGATATATACCCACAGAAATAACATTTACTCATTCACTTTTAGGGATGTGTGTGTGTTCAATACTGAAAAGATGCCCAGGGGTGCCTGGGTGGCTCAGTGGGTTAAAGCCTCTGCCTTTGGCTCAGGTCATGATCCCAGGGTCCTGGGATTAAGCCCCACATCGGGCTCTCTGCTCAGCAGGAAGTCTGCTTCCCCTCTCTCTGCCTGCCTTTCTGCCTACTTGTGATCTGTTTGTCAAATAAAATCTTTAAAAAAAAAAAAAAAAAGAAAAGATGCCCATTAATTCATCAGAATGGAATAGAATGAGACTAAGGGTGGTGTTTAAAAGGGACTTTGTTTTATAAGGAAGCTAGTATGACTCCCAAAAATGTTAATTTAGTTCTGAATGGTGAGGAATATAGATATATTTTTATATACTACTTTGTATCTTAAAAAATATTGCCTCAAAATAAAAAAGCACCAATCTTGATTTTAAAATCCTCTACTGGAGAAAATTCAGCACAGGGCTAGTAGGTATTATCTTCTGTCTCATTGAATGTATTCCAAAAGATAGCCTTTACTTACTAGCAATTATTTAAAATTTTTAATTGTAAAGTTTTAAGTTGAAATTCCTTTGTACTATTACATTTTAAAGATGGAATCAAGGGGGAGGGATGTCCATCCATTTAATTTTTTTCCTATCATGACCTATAAAACTTTAATTTAAAAACTACAGAAACTAAAGTATCCTTTTCTGTAAACCTACTTATTTGTAGGTGACCCGCCTCCATACATTGATGGCATTCGAATTAACAGCCCTCATTATTTGACTAAGATAAAGCTGACCACACCTGGGACCCATACCTTTACATTAGTGGTTTCTCAGTATGAAAAGCAGAATACAATCCATTATACTGTCCGGGTGAGTAAACCAACATACAATGACAGAACACAATAATTTCAAGTACATAATGTGCTCTGCTTCTTAGTGGGATTAGCTATAGAAAAAATGTATTTCTGAAAATTGTCTATAAATTTTTGTGTATATGTGCTTATATTAATTCAGCATTAAATTACGATGCTTCCCAGAGAAAGTAATGCTTTTGAAAAGTAATATTTTTATTTTGAATGACATATTGAGTGAACATTTTAGTTTTCAGAATAATAGTTTGGTCCTGAGGTAATGTGATACATTGAACTAATAAATTCTATCTCAGAACAAGCAGTTAAGAACTCCTTTATCCTATGTAATACTTTAATTGACTTAAAAAACACAACTTTGAACTCTGTGAAAGGAAATCAGTTGCCTGTGAACATATTGCCCTCTTACAGCTTGGCCGGTTAGTTGGTTCGTTGGGGTGGAAGAAGGTTATTGTAATTTTGTTCTGCATAGGTTTTTTTCCCCATACATCAGTAAGGGAGCTCAACTTGAATAGATTTTTAGTGATGAAAAGGACATCGGGTGGCTGCATCTACCCACCTTTTTTCTTCAGATGCAGAAACCAAGGCCTAGGGACATTGTCCTGAGTCACACAGGAGCAGAGAAAGCCAGAACAAGATCCCTAGCTGCTCAATTCCCAGTTCATTAAGCCTGTGTACAGATTAATTACTTTTATGTATACCAACTGATTTTTCAGTCTTCTAGTATATTCTTTATCACTATGGAGTTTTTATAAGCATAAACTTTATCAATACAATAAATTTTGTTTAAAATCTAGGTATATTCAGCCTGCAGCTTTACTTTTTCAAAGATTCCTTCACCGTACACCTTATCAAAACAGGTAAGAATTCTTTCTCTGGGTCATAATATCAGAGAACGCTTAGAATTCCCTGGTCTTTTTCTCCTTTTCTCATTTTATTCACATTTAAGAATTTCTTACAAAATAAAAACATTCTGGACTTGACAGTAATACAAGGGAAATGTAAGTGGCCTCCAGTCTGGGTTGGAATACAGGATCTTCAGTGAACAATATTTAGTGATTCTGTGAAAAGAAAAAAGGCTCAAAGAGAAAAGATTATGCAGACTTTGGTCATTAGAGAAGGATTCATCATGTAGATGAACCTTTATTTTATATTTATTTATAAGATCTATTTCAGAGAGAGTGCACAAGCATGAGTTGGGGGAGGGACAAGGGGAGTAGTCTCCCTGCTGAGCAGGGAGCCTGCCACAGAGCTCCATCCCAGAACCCTAGCATCACGACCCAAACTGAAAGCAGATGTTTAACGACCAAGCCACCCAGGTGTCCATAAATGAACCTTGAAGGTAGAATTTGAGACTGGTTTTGCAGGGTGTGCTAGATGTCATCTGTAGAGGAAGATTTGAGGGAGAATTCTTGGCTCCCTTATCAAATATTAATTGACCATACATGCTTGGGTTTATTTCCAGGCTCTTTATTCTGTTGGCCTATATGTGGTTTTTATACTGTCAGTACTGTATTGTTTTAATGACCATAGCTTTATAGTACAGCTTGAAATCAGGAAGTGTGTTATCTCCTGCTTTGTTCTTTCTCAGGATTTCTTTGGCTATTCAGGGTCTTGTGTGGTTCTGTGTAAATGTTAAGAGTGTTTTTTGTGTGGGGCACCTGGTTGGCTCAGTGGGTTAAACCCTCTGCCTTCGGCTCAGGTCATGATCCCAGGGTCCTGGGATCAAGCCCCACATCGGGCTCTGCTCAGCGGGGAGCCTGCTTCCCCCTCCCTCTCTCTGTCTGCCTCTCTGCCTACTTGTGATCTCTTGTCAAATAAATAAAATTTAAAAAAAAAAAAAAAACTTTAAAAAAAAGTGGTTTTTGTGTTTAAAAAAAGTCATTGGAGTCCTCTGATAGGGATTGGATTGAATTTATAGATAACTTTTGGTGTATTGACATTTTAACAATATTAACTCTTTCAGTCTATGAACATAGGATATCTTTCCATTTATTGTTTTATTTTCAATTTCTTTGATTAATGTTTAATAGTAGTTTTCAGATGATCGCTCTTTTATCTCCTTAAATTTATTCCTAAGTATCTTATTGTTTTTGTTATTATGAGATTGATTTATTTTCAGAAACTTCATTGTTAACATAGAAATGCTACTGATTTCTGTATGTTAATTTTGTATCTTATAGCTTTACTGAATTTGTTGATTAGATCTAACAGTCTTTTGTTTGCATCTTTAGGTTTTTCTATATATAAAATCATGTCATCTGCAAATAGAGACAATTTTATTTTTCCTTTCCAGTTTGCTACATTTTCTTTTTCTTGTCTGATTACACTAGCTAGGACTTCCAGAATATGTTGAATAGGAGTGGTAAGAGTGGACATTCTTGTCTTGTTCCTGATCTTAGAGGAGAGAGGCATTCACTTTTCATCATTGTGTATGTTAATTATAAGCTTGTTGTATGTGTCCTTTACTATGTTGAGATATGTTCCTTCTATTCCACATTTCTTAGGAAAGCGTTTCTACCATGAATGGATGTTGAATTTTGTCAGGTGCTTTTTCTGTGTCTGTTGAGA